AGCTACTGTTGGGCAGGAAAAGGAAAGTGAGATTTTGATAACTGAAAAAAGGAAGCAGAGGCAAAGGAGCATTCAGGTCAGATGAAAAATGCTTGGATACTAAGGATTAGTATCTATGCTTAACTCTCGTATTCCAGAAACTGAATGTGACAGTATCTCCCTGCATCTTTTTATTTTCTCAATTATAAAATGAAACATTTCTTTTGCTTTTTAAAAAATAATATTATACTATAAGAAAGAATTATTATACAATAACAATAACCTAACAAATTGGTTTTAGATACTTTTCTTAATAGCAGAATGAGAGTAATATGTTAAAAGTGTTATAGAAACAGTTATACTTAGGTTCCTGCATTTGTGTTTATATTCTTTATGGGTAATTGTTTGCTTTAAATATTATCATATTTAATAATCTTTTAAATACTTCCCATATTTGAGTTGAATAATAACTCTTAAACTTTAAGGTATTTATTTCTTTTATAGCCCTTTTTTAGGTGCAATATCTTATTTATTTATTTTTAAATTTTTATGCATTTATTCACACGTGCATACATTGTTTGGGCCATTTCTCCCCTGTACCCACCACCTCTTCCTTCTCCTCCCCACCCCCTTGCTTCCAGGCAGAATCTGTTCTGCTCTTATCTCTAATTTTGTTGAAGAGAAAACATAAGCAATAATAAGAAAGACAAAGCATTTTTGCTAGGTGAGATAAGAATAGGTATACAGAGAGATTCCTAGCATTGCTTACATGTACAAATGTGTTACATCCCAAGTTGATTCATCTCTAACTGACCTTTACACTACTTTCTGATCCCCTTCTCATATTGACTTCTGTCGCTTTAAGGTTTCTATATTAGATCCTCTGTAGTGGGGACATCAAATACTTTCATGTTTTCGGTTTCTTACCTATCCCCATACCTCCCGTGTGTGCTCTCCCCTTATCATGCGACCCAAGTCCAACCATATTGTACAGCCCTTTTCTTAAGTTCACACTTTTCTTAGCAATGAATATTCTTCTTAGCTTGTCCTATGAACTTAACTGAGAGTGACGGGAAATAAAGGATAAAAGACAGAAGATAAACATGCAGAAAGCTGGGATCATGTGGGCTGGGTGCTCGGATGGAGACACACAACAGCAGTGTTTACTTCTTTTCTATTCCTTTACTTCTTTTTGAGTTCTTGTACAAAATCTAAAAACTGCATCAGCATAACTCTTAAAGTCTCAGTCCTTAGACTCACACTGTCCCACGTTCCCTCTAATCTCTAGCATAACTTTTTTAAAGTCATGATCCTTAGACTTGCACTGTCCCATGCTTTCTTTAATCTCTCTTAAAGTCTTGTTCCTTAGACTTGCACTGTCCCATGCTTTCTTTAGCTGAGCTTTTTTAAAGCGTATATATAGAGTTCTCACTTTTTCTTTTGTGTGTTCTTCAGTTGTGCACCCTCTGATACCTCAGGGCCTTTATACGTGAAGTTGTCTTTGTCTGAGCTTTCTACCTCTCATTTTGCTATTTTGCACCTCCAAACAATGTCTCAATCCCCATGAATTTTCTTCATCACCATTCCCCTCCTACCATCTCTTTCCAGAGACAAAAGATGCAGAAAGCTGGGGTCAGGTGTTGGATGGAGACACACAACAGCCGTCAGCAGCATCAGCAGCCTCATCCACCTCCAGCGAGTTTATTATATACAGTGGTAAACAAGGAGGTGGAGCAACAGTTCTAGGGTGGGGCATGACACTGCAATTATTGGTAACAGGAGGAACCGGCAATTGCTACTTTCTGAACATAAACATCTTAGGGAAAGCAGCCATGCTGCATTTTGCCCTCATCCCTTTCTGTGGCTGGGGCTGTGCCAGCTCAGCCTGCAGATTATTGGGCATAGCTGTGCTTATGTTAAATTCTCATAGGCTTCTCATAATCTGCTCCACATAGATTACAGTGCTGGTCTTCCTTTTATACAAGTCATTGAGAACTAGGATAGCTCTCATGCCTGAGCAGAGACAGAAGCAAGCATGGCATCAAAGCAAATACTGAAGTTTGCTGGTAACTTTCAGGAATATCATTAGTGTGTCAATTTGTAATGGCAGTAGCTACTTGAAGTGCTTTAAACTCATAAGGCAAGTGGACTTTGTGCTTCACATGTTGAAGAATACTACTTCCTACACTAGCCAGGAATATAAAGAAAGCTAGGCCGACTTAAAAGACAGACATTAAAACATTATTTTTTAAGATAATTCAGAATGAGAAAGTTAAGAAAAAGTTCAGACTAAGACTGATTGAGCCAGGATAACAAACAAATAAAGCCAGCCGCAAAATTAACAGGAACTATTTCTGCCAAGTTTATGGTGAAGGTGTAAAATGTAGTAACAGCTCTCTTTGAATGTTTACTTTCTGACTCACTGAAAAGCCTGAAATTGTACACTATAAGGAAACTTTCTGCTTGAAATGGTATCAGTGAGAATGAAACCCTGGACTTGGAGGATCTAAGTCACTTTGATACAGAGGGGCAGCCTCAACATCCAACCTAGCCATAAAGACTTTGTTTAAGGAGCCCCTGAATTCAACATTCCACATCTATAATAACCCTGTTGTTCCCAAGAAACGGGGTCCTGTGGCTTTTCTTTATTCCAGATACGATGTTGACTTCTTTACATATATCCCACCTTTGAGTCTATCAAAACCCTTGTTTTAACTTTTACCTGAGCCTATCCTTCCATAAAATTCTACAAATGTGTCCTTCCCTTTGTTTTCTGAGACATCCTGTGGTTCCTCTGGTGTTCATTTTTCCTCATTAAAATTTGTCAATAAACTTGACTTTGTCAGACTGTAGTTTGACAGGTTTGCCCCTGGTGGTCTTGGGCTAAGTCGATTAGGACAGGGCTATCAAAACTTAGTCAAGATTCATGTAAATGGAGTAAAATGTCTTCTTGGGCACTGAAAATTTATAAGAAAGGCAGGATTCAACAGAATGATATATAAACTGGAAATGTCACAAAATGGCCTAACAGCATTTTACCTACTTCCCTAATTGTGTTTTCTTTTTCTTCTTCTATTTTTTCGTGGTACTAGGGGTTGAACACAGGGCTACACACTTGCTAGGCAGTGCTCTACCACTTGAGCCACCCTGCCAGCCCTTTTTTGTGTTTGTTATTTTTGAGATAGTATCTCTTAAACTATTTGCCCTGGTTGGCTTGGAACCACAATCCTCCTGATCTTTACCTCTCGAGTAGCTGAGATTAACAGGTGTGAGCCACTGGTGCCTGGCTACTACTAATACTGTTCTTCACCACCATCTTTCCTTCAAGTGTAGTCAGTTCCACAACCTAGGACAAGGAAATATCAGGATTACTTTGGAACCTCTTCTTGTTGCCAGAAATAAAAATTCTTCAAAAAGATGCAGACTTTAAAAAGGGTCAGGCTAGCTGGGCACTGGTGGTTTATGCTTGTAATCATAACTACACAGGGGGCAGAGTTCAGGAGGTTGGAGGCCCGCCAAGGCAAATACTTGCTGAGACTTATCTTGAAAATACCCAACACAAAAAAGGGCTGGTGGAGTGGCTCAAGTTGTAGAGTGCCTGCCTAGCAACCTGAGTTGAAACCCCAGTACTGCCAAAAAAAAGAAGTAAAAAATAAAAAGGGTCAAGCTTACAAGGGCCATAATGAGACAATTTGAGCATCATAAGGAGAATAATTATAGATTATTGAAGTAAGTTGAGATTGTGATAATATTTCAGAATGGGAAGAGATGAACTGTGCAATACAGTAGCTGTAAAATGAAAAGACTATTATAGAATATTTTAATCTTTAAAATTAATTTCAGGGACATACATGAGCTTTCTATTTAACTGTACATACAAACGTACAAAGAAAGGAACTGAATAGTTCCACAAGTGTGAACCGTACCTACTGCAGGAAGAGGGAAGGTCTTAACGGTGTTCAAAAATGAGATAAATGTCCTACTCCATAAACTCAACTTTAGGACCGGGGTTGTAGTTTAGTTCTGGGCTTTCTTGCCTAGTATGCTTGAGGCCTGGGTTTGAGTCCTGGGGTGGGGATGGGGAAGTTTTCTTGGCGCACCTACTATTAATGTGATGCTAATAAGAAATGCACAGTTTTCCAATAATGTTGACAGATGATATACATCTATATGTACATCTTAGGATAACACAACACCACAACAGTACATGTCATTCATCCCTCAACTCTCAGTTTTGTAAGAAACATCATACTACAGAAGGTGGAGACTCCTGGTTGTCTCAAAACCTTCTATCCCTGTCTCTGTAAGGGCCGATGTATTTTATAGTATTCTAAACCAATACACATATCTTAAGCATCACTCATTTTACCAAGGAATTATTTCCAGTATCGCTTATGCTAATTAAAATCCTCTAGTGAAAGTTCACACTGTAGTGGTTGAAGTGCCTGTTAATACATCCAATATTTCCGAGGCCCTTCTGTTGTCCTACACATTCCATATCTGCCTAGAGAGATAAAATAAATAAACTGGCAAACACAAGACTTAGGAGCAACATGTAGTATAAGTTATACTAAACGTACACAAGAGGTGACGCTGGAAGGCAGTGACCAGGGTGGGAGTTACAGGACTTCCGAGTTTGTGACTTTCGAGTTCTCTAACAGCTTGGACACGAATGAATCATCAAGAGCAGCGTCAATCCTTACTTGCCTCCTCATCACCTCGTAGGACTACAGTTCCCACAAGGCAGCTCTCCTCTCCCTTGACTCCGCTCCTGGGCCGTCTGGGAATTCTGGTTTACAGAATCACGTCTTGGACCAAGTTTCACGCACTCGTCACCAAGGACTCGGTCATAAAGGCCTCCGCTACCTCCAGATTCTTTTCTCTTCGGGAGCATCTCGGATGCCCGCGCCTGGTTTTAGTATCTGGCCGGATGCGGGCGGGCGGGCCGCCGGACGGGGCACTCTAGGTCGAGCGTTGCCGTCTCTATGACCGCGGGGGGGCGGTGCCCCGCGTTTGGCTCGGGGAGCGCGGGGGTAGCGCGCGTCAGTTCCGCGCGGGGCTGTCGGAGCGCCATGGCTGCCCCGAGAGGTGAGTCCGGGGCCTCGGGGAGTGGGGGATGCCCGAGGAGCGGCGGCGGGAGAGCATCTGCGCTAGTCCACCCCTGTCGGGCGGCGGAGGACCTCGGCGTTCGCGCGTCCCGGGGCCGGAGGAGGCGTTGGGTGTGCGGAGTTGTGTCTAGCGGCTCCCCGGGGACCTGCAGCGCGGGCAGCGCGCTTCCAGTTGCGGCGCCCACCCTGCGGCGGACTGCGCGCGGGGCGGCTCGCGGCCGCACACCGCGCTGTCCACGAGCTGGTGGCGGGTGGGAAGGGAAGCCCGGTAGGCCTGGGCTGCAGTGTCATCCGTGCCGCCTGCCTACGCGGATGTTCAAGGCATGCCCGGGGGACAGAGCCCGCCGAACTGTCCTGGGCATCACTGACACCGTAACGTGGTGGAGAAAGCAGGGTTAGGCGCTCCTCCTAAGGAGAACGCTGCGTGTGGTTATAGGGAACGTGGGGTGAAAAGTGCCACCAAAGGGTGGCACATTCGGGCCATATTGTTTGGTGGGTGATTGGCATTTAAACAGGGCGAGTCTCGTTAACTCCGCTGTACTTGGGTTTTCCTAGCGGTTAATGTCAATTGGGCCCAGAGCTAAATTTTTGTATTGTAGAACAGTAGCTAGGAGAGGCTGGAGACACCAATTCTTTGTCCACCCTTTCTCCATAGAGCTTCACCTCTAAAGAAATGTTGAACAAAATTTTAAGGACTATCCTTTTCCATGAACGCCAAATTATATTTCTTTTTGAGGAGTTTGCAATTTATCATAAGGCCCTGCCTATGGGCGTTGTCTGTAATTACATATACTTCTCTTATGCATTAACCCTTTGCAAGTAAGTCCAACCTTAGTCTTTGAGCAACACAGGGGGTAACAAAAAGATTTGGCTTGGTAGCTAACAGACTGGGGATTGCAAGATGAATGATGAGCAAACATTTAAAAATTAGGAAATCAAATCATTACCTGAAACATTGTAACAGCTTGCAGATTTAGCCTTATTGCCAGTACGTATTTGTTGTAGATTGGTTGTTAAAAGCCTGATAATGCCTGTCTGTAAAAATGTATAATATTAACACACTTATAGTTTCCATTGCTTCTTGATATCCACAAAAGATTTACCTGGTATTTCCTGAATATCCAAGTTTTCAGGTATAAAGTAGAATTGGAAAAAAATGATTGCTTCAGGCTTTAAGTATCTCACATTTCCCACACAGAATCAACTTGTGTGTGGAAGTTAATAGGAACTTTGTGAGAGGTGGAGAACAGCAGGGTTAAGATGTGGCTGGCCAGTTAAATTCTGGGCTGGGTTTAGTTACTTTACTGGCTTTGGACATGGCAATTGTTTTATTATATTACCTGAAGAGTTGAAATTAATAATTGAAGTTTTGCGCTGGAAAATTTGTGAACAACAAAAATTTTGATGAAATGGTAAACTGAAATGTCAATGAAAAGCATAGTTAAAAACATTTTTAAAAAGTTGATGTATGCTTTTAAAATGTTATATACTAAAGTCCTACAGGTTTTGCAAATTAATAAATTTATTACTTTTCTACTTAGTAGTTATTTTCAAGAATATATTTCTATATATAATATATTTCTATACAAATAGGTATTTTTTTCAAAGTTGATAACAAAGTAACATAGGTCAGAATATGTAAGTTTAAATGTTAGGGTTAGTGTTTAAATATTTGTTATGTTGTTTGTAGAATCAGGAACCTATACAATAGCTAAAATAAAGTAAATTTGAATTTGCAGTCCTAACTTCTGTCATTTATGAAAGTATTGATAATCTTGGACATGGTTGTATAAACTTTCTGTAAAGGGCTGATGGTCTGTGTCCTAGCTGCTTAGCTCTGCAGTTGTAGGGCAGTGTAGCCAAAATAATTTGGAAGCAAATGAGTGTGGCCTTGGTTCAATAAAACTTCATTTATGGACACCGAAACTTGAATTTCATGTAACTTCCATGTGACATAAAGTATTTTGAAAAATTTCAACCATTTAACAATGTAAAACCATATAAATCTAAGGGACAGTGTGGGAAATGCTTTGTCCCGTACAGGTTAATTAAAGGTTATTGCTGCTTAGTTTTGAAGCCATGCATTTTCCCCTGTGTAGGAAAGTTTTAGAACAATGGAAGTATTGTAGGGCTTGTGGTTTTACCAGAGGTGGTGGACTGGCTCTGGCAGCCTAGTGATGGCTGCTGCTCAGGTACACTTGCAGACAGTTTTTAAATTGAGTGCCTGTGTTTCCTGTATTTCAAGTTTTATAGAGCTTTGTTCTTAATATTTTTTTGTGTTGACCTCTTTTTCGTATAATGCAAGAGACTAGATATAATTTGATTTTTATAAAGTTCCGTATTAAGCCCCATCTTTTTTTCCCTGTTATTGGCGGTACTGGAGTTTGAACTCAGGGCCTCATGCTTGCTACACAGGTGCTTTCCAACTTGAGCCACTCCACCAGCCAGCTTTTGTGTTGGTTTTTTGTGAGATATGGTCTCATGAACTGTTTGCCTGGGCTGGCTTCCAATCTGCAATCCTACTGATCTCTGCCTCTTGAGTAGCTAGGGTTACAGGTGTGAGCCACCTGCACCTGGCTTAATCCCCAAGTTTATCACTCATTTATTCCTTTTTTTTTTTCTGCTCTCTTTAAATTTAGAATATACATTGCAATTGTTTTCATGCTTTTCTTTCACAAGTTTGTAATCATAAAGATAATTAAAATACATAATTTGTAACATCTTAGTGTGCCACATAATCTTGCAGTTGGGTCACTGAACAAAATCTTTGCCTAAGTGGTACTGATATTTAAAGACAGCTGAACTTTGTTTTATTTTTGTGTTTATGTAATTAGAAAGTATTGTTTTGAAGAAGAATTTTAAATGTTACGTGTTTTAAAAATATTTTATTATGGAAATTAGAAAGCATTTTAGGCTATAACTAGTTGATGAGTTTTATATACATACCTATTAAATAATATTTTTGTTGCACATATTTTCCAGAAAATGTCAGCTTACTCTTCAAGTTATATTGCTTGGCAGTGATGACCCTGGTGGCTGCAGCTTATACCATAGCTTTAAGATACACAAGGACAACAGACACAGAACTCTACTTTTCAACCACAGCTGTGTGTATCACAGAAGTTATAAAGTTATTGTTAAGTGTTGGACTTTTAGCTAAGTAAGTAAAAATACTTTTAGTGAGTTAAATTATCTTCATTAGAAAATTCAAGCTACACTGTTAAGTGTTTGATTGTTCTAGAGAAGTGTTTCTCAACCTGGGGTGATTTTTCCATCCAGGAGATATTTTTAATTGTTTGAACTTTGGGGGGGGGATGTTGGTGGCATCTAGCTGTGAAGAGGCCAGGAATGCTGCTGAACATCCTACAATACTCAGGACATCCCTCTATAGCAAAGAGTTGTCCAGCTCAAATGTCAGTAATGCAGAGACTGGCAAACTGAGGCCCATGAGCCAAATGCAGTTTGCTGCCTGTTTTTGTTGCAACAGAGATTGTATGGCTCACAAAGCCTAAAATACTTACTTTTTGACACTTAGAGGAAAAAATTTGTTGACCTCTGCTTTAGAGGATTATAATGATAATGATACACATTTGAGTATTTCCTGGGTTAAGTGCTAGGTACTGTGCTAAGTGCTTTCCATGAATTTCCTCATTTCATCTCTATACATTTTTTGTAATAATTTTGTAATAATTTTATAAAATTATTTTATAATTTCCCGTTTTATCAATATAGCATGTGAGATCCTCAAGAGTAATATCTAGCTATGTGAGGCTTTGAATCAGTAATATTTAGCTAAAGATGCAGTGAAAGACAGAGTTAAGAATAGAGGCTTTGGAGTAAGACAGACCTAATTTTAATCCTGGACTCACTGTGTTTTGGGTTCACATACATTTCTTAACCTCTCTAGACTTTAGTTTCTTCCATGTTTTATTGGAGAAAATAATACAGGGTGGTGAGAATTAAATACAATCTTGTTAGTAAATGACTTGGGGGAAAGACTGATGAGATAGGGACCTATTGGAGTCAGTACAGCAAGTGAGAATTCATATAGGCTTCATTGTGTGTGTTGGTGAAAGTGGGGGAGGCGTAAGGAACAGCAAATGTAGCCTTTAAGGCAAAAGTAAACAAATTACATTTAAACATTTCCAAACTCATTTAACAAATACTGAGTAGTTTCTATGTGACAGTTTCTGTATTGCATTCTGGGGATGTAGTTAGGAATGAAATAGTCTCTGCCTTCTTGGAACATAGATTTAGTGGAAGAGTTACTAAATAAATTGGTAGAATCTTAAGGCTTAGTTTCCTTTAAGAAAAAATAGGGTTCCCCAAGTTCAAAAGGGACAAAAAAAATTATAACTATCACAGCATGATATTAGCTATTTTGCCTTTTTGTTTTTGTTTTGTTTGTTTGCAACAGAGTCTCACTGTGCAGCCTAGGCTGGGCTTGGACTTGTTATAATCAGGATCTTCCTGCCTCAGACTCCCAAGTGCTGGGATTACAAGTGTGTACTACCATGCCCAGCAGGTGTTTTACACTGTAAGATCAACTCAAGGTCTAGTTTCTTTTGTAACCATTAAGAATTTTTCAAAATCAATATGCAAAGAATAATAAAGAAGACTTTGGTTGTATTTAGTAGTCAGGGTAGGTTTCTGCTAACCCACTTTATCTTTTATTTTTATGTTTTTCCTGGTTGCATTGCTTGGCATATAGAATTTACTGTTCTTCAGCTGTTCAATGTTAATGGGTATAGTCACTTGTGTTTTTGGAAATTTCTTTGGAAATTATGTAAAAATAAAAACAAAAACTTCAAAAAATTCACCATGTCAGTCAAATAATGGTACTGAAATACCAGTAGTGAGGAAAACCCAAATACTATACTTCATCATCATCACAATCAATAGTTCTGTGTCTGTCACCAGGAGAATATTGAGGTTAGGATCTTGCATACACAGAAGGAGGATAGTCAGAAAAAGGCAAAGAATCATGACATACAGGGTTTTGATGGTTGGCATTTTCCATTAGGTAACTAATAAAATTTTGTTTGTGGAGAGGAATCATTTAAAACTCAAGGACTTTCTTAGTAGAAAAAGCACTAGGAAAAAATTAGAAAGCATGAAAGAAGTGAGATGAATTTGGGACTACTGAATTTTAAAGTAAACACTTTTAGGGAAAACTGTTAGAAAAAAATTGTCATGTGTTTAATGTAATCACATTGGTAAAAACTGAGTACTTGATGTTCATGTAAGAAAAACATTTTATTTCTAGGAACAAAGGGACTTTTTTTTTGGTGGGACTGGAGTTTGAATTCAGGGCTTTGTGCCTGCAAAGCTCAAGCAGTAGCTTGAGCCACACCTCCAGTGCGTTTTTGCCCTAGTTACTTTTGGAGATGGAGTTTTGGAAACTATTTGCCCAGGCTGACCTCAAACCACATCCTTCCCGATCTCAGGCCTAAGCCAGCAGCACTCGGCCAAGAGGACTTACTTTTAAGAGAGTATCTCTGAAAGTGTTAACGGGAAAAGTGAAAGACAAAGCCACAGACTGGTAGCTACAAAATGAGGACACTGTGATTGCCTCTTCATATCAATTGTGTGACTAGACAATTGATACAAAGCTAAAGCACAGCTCTCAGTTTGGGAAAGCTAGCCAACTTTCAGCAAAGCTGAAAGTTGATGCTAGATTTTGAAAGGACAACTAATAGTAATTCACTTAAGGCAGTTGGAACATGAAAAAGATAAATAGAACATATAGCAAGACTATGATTAGGCCACAAAGAATGAATTGGACAGAGAAGAGTTGCTGCCTAGAACTTACAGAGTTAGTGGTATGAAGTCTGCAAAAAAGTAAAAGATTTTCCAGATACTCTCAATGCTGGCATTTCTTTGTATACATGTTCACACTGATAATTTAAAACGTACGTGGGTAAGAGGCTAGCAGGATGGATGCCAATGCTTTGCTCTGATGGATAAATATCACAGTATCTTCTAAATATCAGAAAATATTTGTTATTCAAAAATTGTATGAGCTGATTTGTTTTACATAAGGGAAACCAAAACTGATTGTATTTAAAATTTATTTTTGAAATTCTTTACAGACAATTCTTTATATAATGTTTAAATAATTTTCTAGAGCTAAAAAAAGAAATTAGATTTCTTTCTTTGTGTTCCAAGTAGAAGCAATACTGTATCATCTGAGAGAAAGGATGACAACTTCAAGATATTATGGGGGAATATGGAAGAATTGTATTAGAAACAACTAGCTACTATTTAAAAGGAAAAAAAAACCTTTTAAATGAAATAAAAGCTTATTTCCTTACACCAAATCTTCCCTCTAAGATAGAGGGCCATAACTTTATATAGTTGATCCAAGTATTATCATAGAACTTCAGCTTTATCTGAACTGTGCCAAAGCTTAACCTCATTATAGACTGATCAGTTTGGCTTTCTGTATATTTAGTCTTTTATAGTAGTACTCTTTGCTTTGTAATATGTTTAGTTTTGGCTAAACATGTAGGGATGGAGGACAAAGACTCTTTGAAGTGATACTAGAAATTCCTCAGTGTTTTATAATTAAATTTCACTTACAGAAAAACATACTACTGTCACATCCAAATATCTGTGTTTCAGTCCTTCAAGATATTTTAAGCATATAGTCCATGCTAAGGCTGTTTCAAGATATGATTAAGATGCAATAGACCAGCAAAAATGCTATGTTTTTCTTTTTCTCTTTTATGTTTTTTCTTCAACAAAATCAGAGAACAAGAGGGTGGAACAGGTTCTGCCCAGAAGCAGTGGGGAGGTGTGGAGGGGGGTGGAAGGGGAAGTAGTCCAAATAACGTATACACATGTAAGTAAATGTAAAACCAGTCAAATAAAGTTTAAAAAAAAGATTCAGTGGGATAGTCAGTTTCAGTTATTCATTTACTTAGCAGATATTTATCAAGCCCTAATTATGAGTTCAACACTGTTCCAAATACAAGAAATATAGTTGCAAACTAAAAAGGCATAGTTCTGCCACCATGGAACTTATAGTCTGTTGTAGAATGAACTAATACAATAAATAAATAATAAATTGTTGCTCTATGAAAGAAAAGTAGGGGTGCTGTAAACAAGTATAGTAGAGAGCCTCATTTGGATTGGAGGATTTCCTGTCTGAGGCAGTTGCATTTAAACCTAGACCTGAAGACTGGGTAGAAGTTAAGTGAGAAAAAATTAGAGGGGGCAAAGAGCACATTGAAATCCTGAAGTAGAAAATCTCTTGATTTTTAAACAACGTATTACTGTGTGCTGAGTGTTGTGAGAGGGAAGTGGTGCTGAGATGAAGCAGGAAAGGTCACCAGGGTGTCAAGGAAAATCTTATGGGTCTGTTAAAGATTTTGGATGTGATCTCAAATACATTAGGATATCATTAAAGGGTTTAAATCAGGGGCTAATAAGACAACCCAATTTGCTTTAAAGAATTACTCTGACCTATTAAGGAGGATGGATCAGAAAAGTTGGAAGTGCAGTAAAGTGTAAGAGTTGTAAATAGGGAAACTTACTAGAGTAGAGGTAGGTGATACTGGTCTGGGAAATGAGAATTAATGGATTTGAGTTATGCTCTGGAGGTGTAATCTGTAGGACTTAGTGATGGGTTTGGATATAGTCAGTTCTCAATATTCAGAGGAGTTATGTTCTATAAAGTCATTACCAGTACTCAATAATGAATATCAAACTATTTCTTTTAGAGGAAATACAGGGAAATGTAGGTCTTTTGAGCCTTTGGCCACCATTTTGTCACCTGATCAATACATAACCTTATATATGTTTCAGTTTAAAGATACTTTATTTAATGGTATAGTTTGGATCATCAATGTTCCCTTAAGGGCCCTTGGGTTAAAGATGTGGTCCTCAGCTTGGCACTATTGGGAAATGGTGGAACGTTTAAGAGGTGGGCCCAGTGGAAGGCTTCAGGTCATTGGAGACATGCCTTTGAAGGGAACTGTGGGACCCTGGTCCCCGCCTCTTTGTTTCTTTTGCTTCCTGGCCATGAGGTGAATGGTTTTGCTTTGCTGTGTGCTCTCAGCATAATGTGCTACCTACCCCAAAGCAATGGACCCAACCAATCATGGAATCAAACTTCCAAACCTTATGAGATAAAATAAACCCTCTTTCTTTATATCT